TTCCATGTGGAGAAGAAGTATTCCTAAAAGTCACTTCTTCCTTATTCAATGGGTGTTAGTCGGCAAAGACAGCATCAGTTTAGACTAATTAGTCAACACAATTTTGTAAAGGAAGCACTCTAGATTTTGCTTTGTATATTTAGAGTTTTCCTGACCAAAAGATTTAATTAACATCATTTTTTTATTATATGATAGATTTTTTGGATCCATCGTCTTTGGTGCACTGTGGTCACAGAACTAATAATCAAGTCCTATGTCACATGGGATCATATATTTTATCCATAAAAGTAGGACATGAGTCAAAGTAATTAAAACCAGTTGCTCCAATGTTTCATAGCTGGCAGAGATAAGATTATCAACATCATAGAACATATATATATATATATATATATCGCATGTAAATCTAGTCATTCAAGTCTAAGATTATCTTGTACTACTATGAGGGGCCAAACTTCATGTACTCTTCACGCGGTCTTGCCTATACAAGTAAGCAGCCATACTATTCTGGCTTCCAAACACTATGACGACATGGCATCCGTCAATCTAGGCCCTCTTCAAGATTTCAACATTTTAGTCCTGTTGCAATTATTAGTTTCCAAAAATTGCAAATGTCTTCAAGGTGGATATTGCAAATATTAGTTTACAATTCCATGTGATCTCTTATAGGTGGCCAATGGCGGAGATGAGGACTGACTAGGGCGAGTCATGGCCTCTCTAGCTTTTAATTTTTTTTTTAATAAAATGAAGGAGTTATATATTTTCAACCTCTCAAATTATACTTGTTTATTTTTATACTGACAAAAATTAACTTTACGTAATTACTAAACATCCAATGATATTTAAGAAGACAATATTTTTTCCCTAAGAAAATAGATACTAAACATAAAATCTACTTTCTATGACAGTTGATCATCATTATTGTGTTAATATATTTGTTATTATTATAAATTATCAATTGAATGGATTAAATAATAAATTCAATGAGCAAGCTGCAAAGAGCTTCTAAAATTGAGCATAATTCTAAGAATACATTTAAATCGTTCAATGTTAGGAACATATGCAATCTTATTGAGAAATCTTACTAGATCTTCAAATTTTTCTAGCCAAGAATAGATTTGATTAGAATATGAATATGAATTATAGTGTTTTGAGCTTAATGCACCCAAAGATCTTAATTTTTCATAATTTGATCACTATAAGTGAATTATGTCAAATTTTTGTAGAGGTTGGAAAGCCTAATTGTCATTTATTGATATGCCATAAAGCATTTATGAGCAAAACTTTAAAAACAAAGGTACATATTTATTTAGGTTATATATTTGTAAAATTTAATATAAATATTTAAATTATATATTTAACTTTCATTCCATTACTATACATGCTTTGTAATCTCGGCAACTGTTAATTAAAAATTTTGGCTCCACCCCGCCTTTGTAATCCGTACTTTTGTAAGAAAATTCATCACAAGGCATGGCCCCCTCACAGGGCAAAATTAATCCAAGGGTTGAGCTTCAACTGTATTATTAATTTGATTACATATTCAAAAGATACTTTACAACATACAATAGTTGATTAGTCATAACATATTGATTGACAAACATTGTGCTTGAGGTAGTTTGTTTCTAGAATCAAGAGAGAGCCTCAAGAAACCTGGGAGAGAGATGAACCCATCCCTGACACAATATTGTAAAAGGAAGAATCAAGCCTTTACCAGTACTTCAGGCCAAAAAACAAAAAATGAGAGCACAATTATGGCTTAACTGTGTGACCTAAGGTGAAACTCCATCAATCACAATACATCTTAGCTGCTACGTAGTTGTATATACAAATGCATTCAATTGAGGTGTGTCAACATGAAGAAAAAACATGTGAAATGTCTAAAGCATGCATATCTGCAAAATGGAGTCGCCTTTAAACAACGAAAGATCAATCTAGTTGTTTTCAAGAGGGCACCAATAATTGTACTCTCATTCAGAGTGGGGTATGGCATGATTCTTATACATATTCTTAAACGTTTAAAATACACAATTCCAAGATAACACACCATGTGATCTCCCATGGTACGCACATGACACGACACAACCCTCATTGTTGCCCCATTGATCTATAGCTAACATTTAACAACTATAAATATACACTTCCAATCACAAGCAGCACAAGGCAATATTCCAATCCTCAAGAGACAAAAATCTAAACATTACCAAATCATTCTAACAAAGAAACAAAAGAAAAAATGGGTTTTCGCTTACCTAATAAGGGCTTCATTTACTTTAAGTGCAAGAGCTTCAAAATCTATGGAGGTTCCAAAAGGCCATTTTGCGATATATGCTAGAGAGAAAATGAAGCATTTTGTGATTCCCATATCATACTTGTACCAACCTTCATTTCAAGATTTGCTGAGTAAAGCTAAGGAAGAGTTCGGATATAGCCATCCAATGGGTGGCCTTACTATTCCTTGCAATGAAGATATATTTGTTGATATCACTTCTCAGTTCAATGGGCTATAAAGGAATATGCACTACAACATTTTAGGCTTATTGCAACTAGCAAAAGCTATTGTTGGGGGGGGGGATTGTTGCTTATAAGTATAAGCTATGGTTTTTGACTGTACTGCAAGTGATTGTTACTTAAAGTCTATGGCAACATGCAGGGCCGTGCTTGATGTTAGGCAACTAAGGCAGTCGCCTTGGGCCTTAAAAAAAATATCTATTCATACTCTATATGATTGGTTATTAATCTTCTCATTAAGCATTAATGTTAATTATATACCATATACAATTAGTCATTAATTTTTTATTTGGCATTAATGTTAATTATTTCTTCCCATCAACAATTTATTGCCTCACATTTCATTTCAATTATCAATCCTATTTCTAAAATTTATTAATTTTGTAAAGTGCTGTATGCTTGACATAGCCACTGTATACTTTATTCCACCGCCACTTACTTAATTCTGTTAGTACGATTTTACGATCTAAAGATATGTATTAAATATTGCTATAAATCAATTAAGAGGCCTTATTGATTATTTAAAAAGTTAAAAAGGAAAATGGTTGTGCAGCTGCTTTGGATTCCCAAAAAAAAAAAAAGCTGTTGAAATGAACATAGAGTCTAACTTTCGTGAAAAACATATAATTTACAGAAAAAGATATTTTGATAAAAATGTTAGTAATGAAATCACACATTCAGCAGAAGATTATTTTCATATTGAACGCGTGTGTGTGTGTGTGTGTTAGATTAATCTTTCGGTTAAATATATTAGATCAATCTATTTCTTCTATTGAGACTGCATTTAAACAATTCTAAGAATGTGAAAATATTTTTTGTTTTTCATTTGAATCCCAAAAATTTAAAACTTTGAATGAAGATGAATTGAAAATTTTTGTCTTAATCTGAAAAATTCCTAAATTTTAATTATCATTTTGATGTTGATGTTCTTGATTTATTTTTAGAATTGAAGGTATTGAGAGAAATATTAATAGAAGAAATTAATACTCTAATTGACATATTGCACTATATTAAAATATTAGGCTCTTTTCCAAGTATATATATTTTTTATAGAATATTATTGACAATACCAATAATAGTTGCTATTGCTAAAAGAAGTTTTCTGAAATTAAAATTACTTACATCTTATTTAACATCAATTATCTTACAAGATATAGGTTAAATGAATTAACTATATCATCTACTGAAAGTGAAATGTTAGAATTACTTCATTACAAAAATTTAATATATGATTTTGTAACTCAAAAAACTAGAAAAATAATATGAAGATATATAAATAATAATATATTAGGTCTCTAAAATAATTTTGCTTTAAGCTACAAAACCCCTTTACATGGCCTTGGAAATAGGTGTTAACAACTTTAGCTAATATATATATATATATAGGCATTGATGCAGCTGTAAAAGTCCTCTTGTTCTTTCTCCTCCCTTAGAAGTGGAACAAAGTAAATGTTTATCTGATTCAAATATTCCTAAACAGAGTAATATACCATGTTTTTTGGGTCCATTCCAACAAGTGTCAAGCTTCTCATCATTTTCTGTTCATTCTAGGGCTCCAACAATTACTTTTTTGGTAAACCTGATGATGGAATATCTGTGGACATTATTATCAAGACGCCGAGGATTTTTTCCAAAGAATGTGTTTCATCCCTCATTAAGTTTGAACAATTCCATAACATATTTTTCATAATCAATTTTATCCAATGGGCATCCAAACGCACCCATACTTGCTTAGATGGATTCCCTTCATTTGTGTGCTTGAGCATTAATACCGGAGAGTTATGTGTTTTTATTTTCAATACTTCTATCTATAATACTCTAGAGCAATGAGCACATATAAAATGGTAAAGATTAGATTAATTATGTTGACTTTCTATGCATACAATTAATGTAATCCTTATTAGTCAAATGGTTGATTAAATTTCAGTTCCTCTCTTGCCTCTAAACAATTCTATTATATGGCTCTCTGCTAGATTTTATGCATGCATTTCAATGTGAAGAACATAAGGAATAAGTGTTTTGAGCATGCCTGGAACAAAAGATAAAAGGCCATCATATCACCAGCTAAGTAATAATTGACTTCTCTACTGAATAGTTAAGTAATTACAATGAATATGAAAATGAATTAATGTTTTGATAGAAGTACACGTAGCCATTGCTTCATCTCTGGCAAGAAATCTGCCGACGCGTTGCTTGATAGCTAATAAAATCTGAATGGAGGGTTATATTGTGTGTCTATATTAAAAAAAATAAAAATAAAAAACTAGAATTTTATATTCATGAGAAGAAAAGAAAGGATCATGTGATCTGTCTCACCCTTGTTATAGGCTCGGACAACACTCCATTATCTCTGAAAAAGACATGTAAGACAACTCCATGTGACTTCTATGAGCCCTTGCCTCTCAATAGGTTCAATCACTGAAGAAATGAAAATCCTTTCATCTATATATACACATACTTGTATGCTTTCAGAAGCAAGCAAACCAAATCTTTCACAATACACTCAAGCATCAGTGTTCAAACACTTCCTTCTCATTCTCTTCTGCATAAAAAGCAATGGGTTTTCGTTTTCCTCGAATGATCAAGAGAACTTCAATTGCTTCCAAACCTTCTTCAAAATTTGGTGAAGTACCAAAGGGACATCTTGCGGTATATGTTGGAGAGAAGATGAAGAGGTTCATAATTCCTATATCATACTTGAGCCAACCTTCATTTCAAGAATTGTTATGTCAAGCTGAGGAAGAATTTGGGTATGACCATCCAATGGGAGCTCTTACTATTCCTTGTACAGAAGACATCTTCCTACATGTCACTTCTTCTGTCAATGGATTCTAATTAACTTGCAAAGACAAGGCTAACTTAGATTAGCTAACATAGTTTTGTGATAGGATGCACTCTTGTAAAGGATATGCAATTGATCAAATATTTTGAATTTGTAAGGAGCTGCTTATTCTTTTTCTTTCCCTACTTGAGATATGGGAAATTGTTCTTTTGAATGATCAGCAGTTTGAGTAGACATTTTCACTCATAATCAATTTTGAATGTTAAATGCTTCAAACTCTGAATTTATGTTAGTGAAGATTCATATTCTTATAATATAATTAATGAGAAATATTAAATTTTTCTAAGTATAAAATGCAATCAACATGTTGTTTAGAAAGGGACCAGAAAGCTTCAGTGATAAAATTCTTAATAAGAATTACAAAATAATTTCATTTGATACAAGAAAATATAGGAAAATATTTAAATTATTAATTCAAGTTAGTAATGTAAATCAAAAGGAATAAGCATCATGTCATTTTGGGAAAGAAGGTGAATGATACTATATTCAACTCAAAAGCAATTTACGTCAGAGGGTCATGCCTCCTATACGGGGAAAAATGGTCTGCAAAAAAGATCCATTTCTTAATTAAAGGTTCTTAAATCTTCCAACTCACACCTTAATATGTCTATCAATTCTTTAAGCATTCTCTTCCTGATAATCTTTTAGCCTTTCACAATCAGTCGGAGCATTCTTTTCAACTACTTACCTCAAATTTTAAACAAATTCGACCACTACTAAGAGTCTGATTGTTTAAATCAACCTGCCAAACCAAAGTGCCTTTCTTCATTTTATATTCTTTCACCCATTTGCACTAAATTTACATATGCCTGCCTTGTTCAAAGATATTAACTCCTTAAATCCCAATCCACCATTGATTTTTCCTTGGTTTGACAAACAGCCATGCTCTATATATATATATATAGGGTTTCTCCTGCCTTGATCTGCTGCATGCTGCCCACAAGTATAACATTATTTTTGTTTCCGTCTTCAATAACATTCTCTTAATTGATATAAATATGCTGATTCAGAGCTTGTAGGATAAGCCACTAGATTAAGTAAGTCTTGCATATGTCGTCAACAAAAGTAAGGCACAGGCCAAAGCGAACAATCTGAAAGTCATACATAAATTCATAAGTCAACAAAGCAAGTGCAAAGTTCACACCAGAATTCGACATCCCAGTTTGAGTCAAACTTGAAGAGAACATTTTCCTCCCATGGAGACACCAAGTGATCACCACAGTCAAAGGTTATGACCAACACCTAGGACAGATGTTTGTCCCTCCAAGATAGAATTGATCTCCGTTCAATTAACCTAATTCTGTACTTCTCATCATTTGTAGTAAACTTGAAAGAATGATCCAAGAAAAATCCCCTTAGAGAGGCAAGATTTAGATAATTTGTTGACCATCACAAGAAGCATGTTTGTTGCAATTATGTAAAAGACAATTTCAAAAGGCTCAATATTTATTTTGAATTTAAAGATATGCTAACTATTACCAATCTTCTTTTCAGTCAAATGTCGCTCCAACAAGCTATGATCAGTTGAAAGGATGAAGATAAGGAAAAACATAAGAAATGTCTCAAGCATGTCAAGAAAATGAGATGACAGTTAGAAAAATCTTTAGATAGACATTAAGCTTTGAATTGTTGATGATCCTTCTTCATGTTCGATGACAAAGACATAAAACAGAACCATGTGATCCTTCTCATCCATGTCTCTGGACTGGAACACAACCCATTAGCTAACCCTTCACCAAACAAATCTCAACCTAATTTTCCTATTTCTCTCTTCATTTGCTTAATATTGACTGTTGTCTGTAGGAAATAGGACATCTCCATGTGATCTCAAAAAGCCCTTGTCTTCCACTAGACATCCTGTCACATAACCACTTATCCACCAATTATTGAAGAAAAACAAATCCATCCATCTATATATACTCATACTTGCAAGCGTTTCAAAAGCAGCACAAATCTACAACAATATCCTCGAGCATCAAAATTTTAGTGCTTTCTTCTTATTTCCTCAAACACAAAGAATGGGCTTCCGCTTACCAGTAATTAGAAGGTCTTCCTTTGCTGCAAAAATGGCTTCATCAAAATCTGGACAGGTGCCAAAGGGATTTCTTGCAGTATATGTAGGAGAAGAAATGAAGAGATTTGTGATCCCCATCTCATACTTAAATCAACCTTCATTTCAAGAGTTATTAAGCCTAGCTGAGGAAGAGTATGGATACGATCATCCAATGGGTGCTCTCACTATTCCTTGCAAAGAAGATATCTTCCTACAAGTCACTTCTTCCTTCAACGGGCGCTAGCTTGCAAAGACAAGATTAACCTAGATTAGTCAACACAATTTTGTAAAGGAAGCAATTCAGATCCTTTTGCTTTATAAAGATTTTTCCTCCTTCTTTTTCTTCCCATACTTGGGAAGTGGAAATTGGTGTACATGCGAAGGAGAAATTTATCAATAATTTTTATTCATGTTATCTCGACCATGTTTATTTAAGTGACTGAGAATCTATTTTCTTATCTAGTAGGGGAATTGATAAAAATATTATACTCTTTAACCCAGTAAATTTAGATCAATAGTTACTTTAGGGTAACAAAAGCCCATTTGACCATATATAATATTTTCAAGCAAATTAATCCTATATGGAAATCTTAAAAAGAATTTAAAAATTATTTGATACTCAAAATATTATATATTACAGGGCAATTCTTCACATGGTCTTGTCTGCATGTGTAGTTATTGATCATGCTATTCTTGTCTCCAGACATGATTATGAGTTGACATATTAGCATCCATCAACTTAGGTCCTCCTCACCAAGATTTTCGGATTTCAATCCCTCTCTCTTATATGAGTTGGCTCGATAGCTGTATACACTCACATGTAACATTTATGTTTTCTCTCTTACTATCACTTTACTGTTTGTTGTGTTTCTACAAACTTATCTCACTTTGACTTAATTAGCTCATCAATAAATTTTATATTATCACTTTTAGCTTAGCTTAACTTTCAATTAATCACTACAAAGTTTTCTCTCATCAACATTGCAAAATTTCAAATTTCGTGCTCCTAATATAAAGCTAAGAAGAACCCCCTTGAGTAGCAACATTCCAGACAATTAATTAACCTGATCTCAAGAAGCATGGTTACTGCAATTCCATATGAAAGATTCTTTCAAAAAGGCCAATATAGATACATGTCACAATCATGTCTAGAAATTACAATGATAACTATGAAAATCGTACAATACAGACATTAAGCTTTGAAGTCTGAACTGTGTTCTAGTGAGCCTAGCTTCTATACATTTGACAAAGACATACATAAAGACAGAATCATGTGATCTTCTCAACCTTGTCTCTGGACTAGACACACCTCCTTTATCTAGCCCTTCATCAATTAAATCTCAACCAAATAGGAATTATGAAGAATTCCTCTTATTTGATCATGACTTGTTGCCTTTTGAACGTGACCTCTGAGACAACAACATGTGATCTGTAATGTGCTCGTCTTCTAATAGGACCTAACATGTAAGAACTCTAAAATTATAAGTTAAAAAAATAAAAAATAATAATAATGAAAAATAAATAATTATAAAAATAAGAATAAATTAAATATAAATGTTTGTTTTGAGTGTATTTTATTAATGGTTGATAGAAATTATAATAAGGAGGAATATTGATGTAGTGGAAGTACACAAATGGTTTATCCCCTTAAGTCCTGAGTACGATTCTGGCGAATGCAAAAATGGGAGTTTATTCTTTTATATAGTATTGTAAAATTACTAAATTACCCTTGCCTCCCTCGAATTTTCCTCTTTTCTTTCTCTCTCCCTCACCGACTTAACACTCCATTTCATTAGAAGAACCCAGATCCTCTTCTCTCTCTCATCTTCCTCCTTCTCTGCCTCTGCTTCTCTTCCATCACAGCAACACAGTATGAGTTAATGCATGCTCGTCGAAGTTGCTTCATTTCTCCCCCATTCTTCCTTGCTCGTGTGATAGCTTCTCCTCCTTCACAAGTACAGAGTTGTCACTGCGTCTATGGGTGTGAGTGCGTCTGGTCTTGGACTTCCTTTCGTCCTTCTCTGCATCGCCAAAGAGAGTGCATGGAGTGTATGTGTGTGAAAGAGGGAGGCAGAGAGAGAGAGAGAGAGAGAGATCGGACCATCCTCCACTGTTCGTCATTGCTGCCGTCATCATTCTAGCTATGTGATTGTGGGCCTTCGAATCTTCTTCTCCCTTTCCCTTCATCATCATTAGTCCACTGCTGGTGACCATGATAGTGCCATTAATTCTTCCTCTTCTCTGAACGTGTAGCAGTGTTAAGTTTCCCCTGTTACGCGTTGGATCTCCTCTTCCTTGCTTCTTCATGCTGTCTCCAACATTAATGATCTAAGGTAAGAGATTTCTTTTCTCTCCCTTGCGCTGATTTCTTGTATGCGTGGATTGTGATTTCTTATATGCACCGATTTTGTGATTTCTTGTATATCATAAACAGGGTCTGATTTTCTTCTCTATGTCTGTCTGTCTGTGTGAATGTGTGAGATAATAGTTATGTTGAAGAGGCGGTACTAAGAGGCTGGGTTAATTTATAAACTAATATTGAAGAATTTATGAGAAATGGTGTTGTAGAATGGTTGGACAGTCGTTGGAATGAAATTTAAAGAGAAGAGTTTAATATTAAGATTTAAATATTATAATGCTTGTGAAAGGTTTGATAAAATATTGTTTGGAGAGGTTAATTGATTTTGTATTTTTAAAATTCTATTAATTATGATGAGAAGCATGATTGATTTGAAGGTGCCATTTTGATTATGAAATCATTATGCAACAAATGGAATGTTGGGAATTTTATTGTTGATGATTTATAAACCATGATGTTGTTTTATGACTTGTTAAGGGACACACCTAAGGTGTTCAATGCAAAAAATGGGTGATATATTTTTGGATTTGTGAAATGTATAAAAGAAATAACAATGATATCATTTAGGTGTCAGAGAATTAAGAAGTAGACAATATTATAAAAAGCAATGGGTTAGGAGTAATTATATACTTGGGAATATCTCATATAAGTAAATAGCACCCTAGTTAATTTATCAAAAAAAGTTTTTGATTAAAATTACTATGTAATGTATATTATTTTTATAACAGCTATGATATATATTAGGTACTTTGTTAATTAAATTATTTTTATCTTGGAAAATTGTCAAAAGATTTTAAAGAACATTTGAATTATGACATGAGTGTGTTTTTCTTTATAAATGATACTTTTAAGATTGATAAAATATTTTTATAAGCTCTGATAATTTTGGTTTTCTAATAAATGCAAGTATGGACATTAGTTATGTAATTTTATTCTGACAAGCTTTTAATGCTTAAAATTCTTCATGCGAGTTGGGTTTTGAGAAAGGAAATTGTATTTTTATAGTAATAATTTTCTTGCATATTTGAAAATGGTTTTGAAGGAAGATTTTATACAGAACACTGATTGTTAACGACAATTTCATTAGCCCTTGGCACACTATAGTTAATAACTAGTTAGTTTGATTTTTGTGAGCTTTGTTCTCACGTTTGTTATTCATGAGTCTCATAATTACGTTTGTTTAATGGCTCTAGCTGTGTTTAGTTAGCATTACCCTCGTGGAATATGCGTTCACGTTTGTTTTGTAGCAAAGGCTGTGTTTAGTTATTTACCCTCATAGACTGTGTGTTTATGTTTGTCTTCGTGGCATAAGCCGTGTTCAATTATTTATCCTCGTAGACTGTGTATCCATGTTTGTTACCTATTCTATTAAGTCCTCAAAATTTTTAAATTTTTAAATTAACTGTGTATTTGAAATTTCAACGATTTTCAGTTAGTAAGTGTACTATTTTGATTTACATGTGAATAATTTATTTTCTTCAAGCATGATGAAATAAAGAAATTTTTAGTTCACTTTCATTTTATGGTTACAATTAAGATTTACAAATTTATTAAGTGTATTATATTGAATTATCATCTTTTCAATTATTTTACATAATTATTTAAGTTTTTTATTTTACACTTTTAAATTTTATTTTTGAGGATGCTATTCGCTGGAAATTTTATTGGTCTCAGATTCATTAACTGACATTGAATCTTCTGCAAATCATTGAAGGGTATATCAATGATTGGGAAGTGATGGATATGTGGATTAAACTACCTTTTGATGTAAAAACTTGAATTATGAAATTGTATTTTGTGAACTAAATTCTAGGTGCTCCATATATATTATAGTTAGGTTCTTATTTCGATGCATATTCCATCTACTGTTTGAAAGGAGTTGAACTCTTGAATGATATGATATTTTGTTTGAGACAATGTATTGTAGAACTTTTGAGAGATCCTATTTATAGGAGAGGTTTTGCCAAAATTTCTGTAAAATATATATATATATATATATATTAAATCTTTATTATAATGATTATTATCAAGAATATAAAAATTTTAAAATAAATTAAAAATGGAATGTATTTTTGATTTGAGGCTTACAAAATATGTGTTGTGATTTACAACCCATGCTGGTCATCCACTATTTTTGAGGCGTGACATAACATATTATTGAAGGAAACACATCCTAACATCTATATATATATATATATCCAAACTTGCATGATCTTCCAAAGCAACACAACTCAACAACATATCCTCAAGAATCTACATTCCAACTCTTTCTTAGCTTCTTATTCTCTTATACACAAAAAATGGGTTTTCGTTTACTAGGAATTAGAAGGTCTTCATTTGCTGCAAAAACCACTTCATCAAAATCTGTAGAGGTGCCGAAGGGATTTCTTGCAGTATATGTAGGAGAACAACTGAAGAGATTTGTGATCCCCATATCACACTTAAATCAACCTTCACTTCAATAATTGCTAAGCTTAGCTGAAGAAGAAGAAGAATTTGGATATGATCATTCAATGAGTGCCATCACTATTCCTTCCAGAGAAGATGTCTTTCGGAATGTCACTTCTTCCTTCATTGGATGTTAGCTTGCAATGATTAAACTTAAATTAATGAACACAATTTTGTAGAGGAAGCAATTTACATCGTTTCGCTCCGGAAAGATTTTTCTTTTTTCCTTCTTTTTCTTCCCCTACTTGGGAAATGAAAAATTATTCATGTGTAAATCTATCAAGAGACATTGTTCATGTTATCTCCATCAACCATCAAAGCCTTAAAGGAGTATTCAACTTTTCGTTTAAGTGACAGAATTTGTATTCTTATCTTGTAGAGAAATTGAAAAATGAATATTATACTTCTTTAATATAGTAAATTCAAATCAATATTGTTAAGAAAAAAATTAAAATAAAAAATTTTTATTTTATGCTAAAAAAAATTATATTTCTTTGTCTTTGTCTTCAATGATATTATCTGAGTTTATAATATATGTGAACTCGATTCAATGGATAGAAGGAACAAAATTCAATTGTCGTTGACTCTGTTTCCTTCTATATATATATATATATATATATTCTTTTGTGGATCATTTGGTACATGGTGGAGTCACTGAGGTTAATAATGAAGTCCTATGTCTCAAGAGATCAAATACCCTTAAAAAATATGACATCTCAAAGTAAAAAAATTTGGAAGTCTAAATAGAGATTTATTTTACCACTTGAATATGCTTCATTTGGCTTCTGGTATGAACAAATATAGCCTATAAAAATCTAATCATTCAACTCTCACTAGCGAGATCATCTTGTTCTACTATAGGGCCAAACTTATGAACTCGTCACGAGGTCTTGTCCCTTCAAGTTAGTCATCATGGCATCATGCTATTTGATTATGTCTCCAAACACTTTATACTGCATCTTTCAATTTAGGTCCACCCAATATTTTCAGACTTTAATCTATCTTGTATGAGTTGACTTGATTGTTGTATATGCACTCTGATAACACCTTGAAAAGTACCAATACTGAGACAAGATCATTTGATATGCCTTATGGCCTTTGTCACTCGTGCTTGTAAGGTCAAATTTTGTTTTCAAGAGTTAAGAGAACAACACACGGTTACAATCCATGACTTGTCACACTTGGTGCTTGCTGGCTCTTCCAAAATCTTCTTGGATGTTTTATATAAAATGCCACTTTGTGGAATTGTCAAATTTAGATTGTATGTAAGGCTGTGTGGTGGATTTATGATTTACATACCAGATCTCATTTGCCAGTCTCTTTTCAACAAGAAGCTCATATAAGTAATATGTTTTGAGCATGTCTAAAACATGACCGTTTCATCAGCTAAAGTATGATAGTTTCCTTTCGAATAGTTAAATAATTCACATTTGAATAAGTGACAGAATCATATGATATTTGTCACCAATGTCCCTATAAGCATTGGACTAATGTACACTCTTTTTGCACCTGAAAAGGACCTCTTGGACAACTCCATGTGACCACTAGTGAGCCCTTGTCTCTCTCAGGGCCCTTTCACACAGACTCTTATCCACAAATCAATGGGAAAAGCAAATCCTTTCATCTATATGAACTGATACTCGTATGCTTTCACAAGCAACACAAATCTCTGTCAATATTCTCAAGCATGAATATTCAAACACTTCTTTCTTATTCTTTCTTAAACACAAAAGGCAATAATGGGTTTTCGGTTGCCTGGAATCAGAAGATCAACATCATTTGCTGCAAAATCAGCTGCTTCAAAATCTGGTGAAGTGCCAAAGGGATATCTTGGAGTGTATGTTGGAGAGAAAATGAAGAGATTCGTAATCCCTATATCATACTTGAACCAACCTTCATTTCAAGAGCTGTTAAATCAAGCTGAAGAAGAATTTAGATATGATCATCCAATGGGCGCTCTCACTATTCCTTGTGCAGAAGATGTGTTCTTATATGTCACTTCTTCCTTTAATGGGTTCTAACTTGCGAACATAGGACTAACTTAGATTAGTTAATTAACACATCAGTTTTGCCAAGGAAGCAATTCATGTCCTTTGGTTTTGTGAAGAGATTTTTTTCTTGTTCTTTTTCCTTCTCTACTTGAGAAGTGGGAAATTGTACTTATCAGAATGAGTAGTTTATAAATATATTTTTTCATTCACATCTCAATCTATATTGGAAAATTAAGTTTAATTTATGTGAGTATAGATTCATAGCAGAATTGAGGAAAATATTATATTCTTCCATCAAGTAAAGTCGAATCAGAATTTGGTTCATTTGAAAGTACCAAAAGCTTCCATATTGGTCTACTTTGTTCTTTTGATGTTTTGGGTCAGAGCCTCTTCTACACAATGAAGCCACTAGATTAATCAGGCCTTACATATATATATATATACGAGATTGTGTGTGGGTGGGTGGGTGGCTGTAGTGATGTATTTGGTTTCTGGGAAGAAGTGTAGACTCCGAAGAGAGAATTTTTATCAAATGCAACATTCTTTAGTGCTCCTTCTCTGCTTATGTAAAGGTATAAACTCTTCTTTCACTGATAAGTATTGCCTAGATCCAATCCAATTCGTTGTCATGATGAAAATCATGAGTAGGATTAGCCAAGAAAAAGCATGATATCATGAAGCCTCATGAATGAACTGGAGTTTATGAGTTCAAGAAGATTTCTCACTTAACAAATCAATTTTTTTTTTTTTTTGGGGGGGGGGGGGAGTTCTCCTTGTAAATTTGCACTCGTAACATGCAGGTTGGGGGGATGAGTCCTCCCTGTGAATTCATTTTGAGGAACTTTATTGCAAAATTTAGAAAGCCTAAATCCTTGAAAGTAATTATTTAAAATTGTTACTGTCAGAAAAGTAAACGACGTCGCTTTATCTGGTTTGGGCATATACTCAGAATGTGCCTCCTCCGGCTCTAAAGTCCATACTTCCATCGAGCAAAAGCAAATGCAATTTGTTCCCGTGGTCGGCTTCTCATTTCAATCCCTGCGTTGGATTCCTGTGAAAGCTTACATTTTTAATTCAAACGCTTACTTCAATCCCCACTTGCCATTAAACAAATCCCAGAACAGGGTATTGTAAAAGAGGCATTTTTAAGTTTCCCGCACTATACTGCCCATCGTCTTCTGCCTCGTTGAGTTCTCTGCATTTGCGGGTATCTTTGGCTTCTCTGTTTTCCTCTTATTCCTCCATGGCAACCCCAGAAACGATTCCTGAACCTGAACCCGAGAAGCATGTGTATTCGGTGTGGGCTGAACCACCGGAAGATGTGCGTGATAGGATGAAGAAGCTGATGAGCGGCCTCCGATCGGAGTTCGGTGGGCCTGAGTTTGAACCCCACATCACCGTCGTCGGGGCGATCAGCCTAACTCCTGATGATGCTCTGAAGAAATTCCGGTCCGCGTGTGAAGGCCTCAAGGCTTATAATGCCACCGTTGATCGTGTGGCTACAGGGACCTTCTTTTACCAGTGTGTTTACCTTCTGATTCATCCCACCCCTGAGGTATTTTTCGATTTTAATTTCTGTCGGTCTGGTTTAATGTTATTAGTTTCGTTGTGGTCAAAGGATAATCATTGAACGGCATGACATTGAAATTGGTTTTCGTCTTTCTCTAAGGTTTTGATTATTAAGTTGCTAAATCAGCTGGGATTCTGGACATATGCTTTTATTGTATTGCTTTTTGACTGTTAATAAATTATATATGTTCAAAATTTTCATTCCTATTAATCCATTTTTCTTCGTATCTGTTGAGGTCATGTGCAGTTTCTTTTCTACTGAATGTTTATAATAGAAGCATTTCCTATCTATAATTGTGGAATTGGAATCGAAGGGACTGCTTAATTTATTTCCCTTAATAATTGTTGTATTAGAGATTAACTGATTGAGCATGATTTACCCTGGATTGAAATGTTAGACAGAAATATGTGCAAGGTTGCAACAGCATAACATATATACTCTTAAGTAATGGTACAGCTGATCTATGGGTGGGGTGGTGACAGCCTAAATTGTCAATCACTCTTGTTCCCTTTTTTTTAATTCAACGTCAAAAATTTCCCCAGCTCCTTCCAAATATCGAAGTCAATTATGTTATGTTTTGGGCAGTGGTATTGACATAAAGTTAAACTTGAGCATATCCAATTCCTATTTACGATACGAATTTGGAAGGCTTTGTCTTGTCATTTTAATTTTGATTCTCTCTCTTTTCAATTTCTTTTTCTCCACAGGTGATGGAAACTAGCGATCTCTGCATCAGTCAATTTGATTACAACAGATCATCTCGTAAGTTATATAATCTGATGTTTGCCTCAAGCTTTATCTTTTTGAAGGCTTGAAGTAGAAGTGTACATAGAGAAGTAAATTCGTTTTCTTACCACCTATGAAGCTTGTCACTCATCAGAATGCAGAATCAAAACTCTGGATAGTCTTGTGTTTCTGAATGATAAAGAAAATCCTCGCAAGTTTTTTAATTTAGATCATGAAGCTGATTAACATATATATCAGTGAAAAATTGAGATATATTTTACACATTTCAGTTGTTTGTTATAGTGATACGTCGTGACTCATAATAAAGAATAGGCATGAAAAGAGTATCTTAATGTGACAAAGGTCTTAGGCTTTTACTAGTTAAAAGAAGCCTCTTAGGGCTAAACCCGTGAAGAAAAAATAGGGGCTGCAAAGAATGCTGGATGTAATTCTATCTCCTTTATCCTCATAATTAACCACAGCTTGAGAACGCGAGAATTGGGATTTGACTTTGTCAAAGTGTTATATTCTAGAACTACTCAGCCTTGTAAATTTTCCAATTAGCTTCATGAGCTATTTTTTTTTTTTCCCTTTTGTATCCTTCCAAAACTCTAATGATTAATGAATCACTGTATTTGCTCATCTATTCTTGCTCCCCTAATAGCAAAATTTTCATTGGGAACTTTTTTCAAGTGCCAGAGGGAAAACTAGAAATTGATGGGGTATCTTAGTGGGATAGGAAACCCTATCCCAAAAGTTAGCTATTGAAGTGGAATAACCAACCCACTTATATATCCCATTGAACATTCCATACCACTCAATGTGTGACTTGATATTTCACACTACCAAGTTTCCATTAGAAATACACCCATTTAACTTTAGATCTTGTGCAAATAATCCCCCTCCCTTTAAGAATCAGAGATGACTCCTTCAAACTTTTATTGTTTAGCATTTAGGAAACAGGGGCGGGGCGTTTAACTCCAACACAAAGCTTTTCATTTTTCTTGTTGCCACCTTTATTTACTTCTAAACTAAAGGGAGTACTTAATGCGCAAAGGAAAATTAACCCTTCGAAGTGGGAAAAGGATTATGGATACCAAAGGTGAAAGTATGGTGTTTGAAGTGGCATATTTGCTTTCTGAATACAGACCCTGGTCTTTCACTTCTCAAGTTCCTGAGTTCTTTGGAACATAGGATATCATTGACCTCTTGTTGAAAGAACACGCTGATTTAAATCCTCTGTTCGATAACTTACTTTTAACTCTTAAGTGACATGTTTAGGTTTAAGTTGACATATGCAAGGTTAAAATCTCCTAACTATTACGATAATACTATATATGGAGGTAGTAGGGGTAAACTCTTTTGCTTATGGTTATGTTGTTTATGCTTGCAGCTTACATGCCACACTTGAGCCTTCTGTATGGAGATTTAACTGATGAGGAGAAGAAAAAAGCTCAAGAAAGAGCCAAAGCTCTTGATGATGTCAGTGGGTTAAACTTCCAAATTAGTCGCCTTGCATTATACAAGACAGATACTGAAGACAAAACTCTGAAATGCTGGGAGAAAATTACTGATTGCATTCTCAGTTCAAATTAGCTTTTTTGACCTCTTTTGATAATATCTGTTGAGGATTTACTTGTGACTTCTTCTGTTTATGACCCAATCCACACTTTCATGAATCATATCAAGCCTCCGCTACTGTATGAAATAGGTGGTCTTATAAAGGGCATGAACACCCACCTTCATACTCACTTTTCTTCAGTGGCTATTAAATGTGAAGCAAATCATGACACAGTAAGCAACATGACAAATTGTTTATTAAGAGACTCTTACTCAAAGATTGTTAGATACACAAGCAAGAAGTTGAATGATTGAAACAATGATGATGGCATCTAAAGATATTCGACTGGGACATTTTGTTCATGGTCTTTGAGATGTCTTTGATCAGTAGAAGGGAGCAAATATGATTTATATGATGATGTGGCCTTAGCTGCAATAACAAGTCATAATTTTCATGAGTAATTACATGACAAACCTATCAAAATAAACAATATTGTTTTGTATGTAGTAATGTAGAAGCATGCTGGAGATTGAAAACTGAACTCAGGAGAGGTTTGAGATATGGGGATAGAAAAGCTAAGTAAAACTAGGCTTGTGGCTCTGTTTAAGTGTTTATCACGTAAAGTACAATTCATTGATAATTTATAAATAACTCATGAATAATATAATTTGCTATATATATATATATATATATTAGAGCAACTTTACTAAACACATCACATAATGTGCGGTTTCAATGGTAGGGTCCATCTAACCTATCCCTGCAAGTCTTTGTGAGAGGCACAACATGCCACAAGCCCACAGCAATATTAAAAAGATTGGTCAGGAGAATTAATCTCCCATCAAATCTAACGCTATCCTCTGGTCTTATTTTAAGATAGAGAAAATTTTTTTTATCCTAATTATAGATTATGACACACAATTTTTTTTATTTTACTCTTATTTTATATATATATATATATATATATTAATTGAGATAAATTTAAAAATTTATAAAATTTTTTAGAGAGAATCAATGAGTTTAATATTTTTTCAGTTTCGACAAAACATGTTGAAAATGATTTAAAAATATAATTAGATGAAGTATACTCCTTCTAATCGATGTTTTATCTACTTTACCCCTAATAAGGATAGAAAGAATTATTTTTAAATAATTTTACCTAGCATTTAATAAGGGCTGAAATGTAAAAAAGAATATAGAAAATAGTGAAGTGATTTATATTTAGGATTAGCACCAAAATTAATCTTCTTCTGCCCTATAAATAGAACCAAGTATATATTTTGGAGAGAAATCATATTTCAGAAAGTTATTTATATTTATTAAATTATATTTGTATTTATATTTCAGAAATTATAATGACAAATTCCAATGGTACGCGTTACTCTATTCATTTCATTTAGTTCTGCTTCCCCAAAGTAAAAGGCATATTTTTATATTAATAATAATCGTCAATATATTAATAGAATGAGAAGTAATGGTATTAAAACTCAATCTGGGTTGGCTTATCAAACCAGTGAACCAATAGACCAATATTGTAGCCAATTAGGCCAAGAATTTTGGACTGGTACACCGAGTGAGATTTTATTTTATTTTATTTTATTTTCCCTCTTTTGTTGAGCCTGAAATGACATCATTTTAAATTTTGAAAAAAAAAATAAGAATCTGTTAAATTTTTGTTTTAGTAACTATATTTTCTTAGATCAAGTGTTTAAGCAAATATTAATGGAAAATTTGCAAGGAAAATAGCAAAGAAAATAGAATTCTATTGGAGAATCTTGATAGGATAATTCATGCCATTGGTATAATGTTACTACACCAATTAATACTCAGAAACAATATTGTATTGTTCATCAAATCAAACATGTTAAGCGGTGAGGGTGGGGCAGGGGGCTGAGGCTGGTGATAAAGGTGTGTGTTGGGGACTTGGGGCCGGAGCTACATGTCTGTGCCGACCATGATGACGACCATGGTGTCCCTCAGGCAAGGTGGTCGCTGCTTCTTCAGATTTCAATAATCTGTAAACCATTTCTGGGTTTCTGGCCTCTGCATGATCAAAGGTTGATGAGCTCAGAACAATTACAAGAACAAGAAGAAACACAGGTATCACTTTCTTCATCATCTTCTTCACTGATCTTTTGCTTACTCTTGCTTCACCTCTGCTGCTTTGCCCTTCACCATGTAATTGGCTTTAAATACTGAAGCCTCAAGCCTCAGCCCATTTATTATGAACAAACTGTATTCATTCTAATAAATGACTAATTATATCTATGTATTCAATTACCTTAATTTTTGTTTATGTCTGTTTTTACGTAGCTTGACTTGAACTTTCATATGAAAACTGACTGTTATTATTTCCTCCATTGAACTTGGTATATATTGACTTACTATACATTCAATTACGTTGAATTTTGTATGACCATCATTTTTACTTTGTTTGACTTCAATTTTTACATTAAAATAGGGTGTGTCATTCATTTCATCAGATTTCCTCAATTTAATTTGCTATGACGGTAATTAATTTTGCTCTATTACAATAATTGCAATAAATGGGATGTATATAAACTACTCAAGTCCTTAACATGAGACGAAATTAACAAATTTCACGCTTATTAAGAAATATTGTTCATAACATTGAAATTGTAAAAAAGTTTGTAAATTTTCAATTTTATCTTATTTAACTAATGACCATGGTAAATTGTTGCTTAGAAATTCAAATGAAAATGAATAAATAAGAGGTAAAGTTGGGGAAAAATACATTAATTACACTAGCTTCGTCTTATATTTATGATCAAAAAAAACTTTCAAACTTCATCTTATACTAAGAATCAGAGGGAGTATGTGGAGCATGTATAATTAAATATCTTCTTCATTCTTGATATGGATATGATGCAAATATTTTGCTCCATTAGATAGTTTAATTTAATTAAGGGAGATTCACAAATAAGCGAAGCTAAAGCAACATATTCACAATTTCACACTGTAGGCCCAATGGATTTTGTAATTCTTTCACAAGAAGCCCAAAGACCTCTAGTACAATTATTATTTAAAATATTATTGGTTGGAGTATTATTTTTATATTACACTTGATAATAGAACTGGAATACGTGAATAATGACTTCTGCATTAAATTATATTGATTTTGTTTGACCATTTATACTTTCAGTTTGACTATAATTCTCACATTAAAATAGACTGTCATTAATATTTGACCATATTTCCTCCATTTAATTTTATATATTATTAATCAATTTTGTTGTATTCAATGACTTGATGTATAATTGGATATGTGGAGATGTTGCCGAAAGAAATGTATATGTGGAGTTTATATATATATATATATATATATAATCATATCGTTTTTTTCTCTAGAAATAAATAGAATAGATCGCTTAATTTAATTTGTATGGTTTAAATTTTGAATATTTTTTAAGTTAATATATTATTATTATTATTTAAAAGATTGATAGTTGGAATATTATTCTTATTTTATATTGTAGAGCAATATGTATTTTTAACAAAATACCCATATAAGATGGACTTTCTCAATGTACTTCTAAACTTTTACTTTAAAGAGAATTAATAATTAAATGTCCCCTAGCTAGTGGCAGAGCCAAATTTTGGTGAGAATGTGCAAATATCCTTTACTCTTCCCCTCCAACCAAACACTACCTAAAAAAAATTATAAGTAGGGTATATAAATTTTATAATTTTATACCCTTTACTTTTGATATTTTATACCATTTGAACTAAATGAAAAATTTGAGTCAACAAATTTATTAGATATGAAATATTTTAATGATTGAGATAAAATGTGAATGGTATACTTACATAAAAGATTTTATATTAACATGTTCAATATAATTTTTTTTAAAAATGATAATCAATCTATATATATTATTACAATTTTAGTCATAATATAATTATTATTATTTTTAAGAAAATTATTAATTTTTAAATTAAATAATCTTGCACTCTTAGTTCTGGATCTTAACTCCACCATTGCCTTTAGTTATAATGACACAAATTCCACTAAAATGCGTTATTCACTTCATTTATAGTTCTGCTTACCCAAAGTGTTGTATATTAATAATCATCAATATATCAATGCACAGCGAGAACAATATCCACCATCCACTATCCTGTTTATTTTACCTTGTGTAAGCAATATCTCCTCATAGAAACGTAATTATTATTACTAGAGAACCAAAAAATAAACCTTAATATAGATATTACGATTTCCTTCCCCTAATAATTTCTATTGACAAGGGATTAGATAAGGATATAAATATTGGATAGCAAATATTAATAGAAAATTTGCGTGGAAAAAAAGCTAACAAAATTTAATTTTATTGGAGAATCATGATAGGACAATTCATCTCATTGGTGTAACTGCACTAATTAATAATCAGAAACATTGTATTGTTCATGAAAGCAAATATCTCAAGCGGTGGGGCTGGGGCAAGGTGCTGAAGCTGGGGCTAAACGTGTCTGTAGGGGACAAGGGGCTGGAGCTACATGTTTGTGCCGACCATCATGATGACGACCATGATGTCCCTTATGCCTCGGCTCTATCTCATTTTCCGATGTTAATCCCAAGGCGGTGGTCGTCGTCGTCGTTGGTGGTGGTGGTGGTCGTTCATATGTCGGAGGTCCATGATAAGGTCCTGAAGCAAAAGTCCAAAAACCCTGATCTGTAGACACTGATAATGATGATGATGATGATCCCTTGGATTGAGCTTCGTTCTGGAATTCTGCTGCTGCTGCTGCTTCAGATTTCAAGTCTATGATTCTTGTGTAAACCATACCTGGGATTCTGGCTTCCGCATGGTCAAAGGTTGATGAGCTCAGAACAATTACAAGAAGAAGGAGAAGCACAGATACTACTCTCTTCATCATCTTCTTCACTGATCTTTTCCCCTCACACTTACTTCAGTACTGGTGCTTAGCCCTTCAACATGGATTGTCTTTAAATATTCAATCCTCAAGCCTGAGCCCATTTATTATGAACAAACTGTATTCATTATAATGAATGAATAATCATTTCTGTGTATTCAATTACATTGACTTTAGTTTGTCCGTTTTTACTTAATTTGATTGGAATTTTCATATTAAAACTGGCTGTTATTAATATTTGACCAGATTCATTGAACATGCAAAATATCATATTCGGAACACAAATTTATAATTTAG